TTCGGTGAACACTGCTTCAGTTGATACTGTTGTGGACGCAATAGCACCTCCCGCGGATTCGTTGACCGTTGTCGCATGGGTCATATACATCATCATGCTACTGCTGGTCGCCGTACATCTCTTGGTGCTTTTCATGCCAACAGCTCATTTCATCGATTCTCTTTGCCGATTCGACGACATGGGACGATGGCACACACCTAGGAGAGCCACATTGGCTCGTATTGTTACGCGATCGTTACAGCTGGGTGCTTGTGTAGCACTGGCAGTGGCAATACCAAGTTTCAATCGTCTGGTGAACATTTTGGCTGCTTTCTGCATCATAATGTTGGCTGTAGTATTCCCGATATTATTCTACCTCCGTCTGCATTACTTGAATAAGGAGCGTGTAAATTGGATCGTATGTGCAGTGGCTTTGCTACTTCTGCTGCTCAGTCCGGTATTAATTGGAGCAGGGTTGTATGTGGCAGTGACATCTTGAATTGTCAAGATCCCAAGTCGGCATATGGCGGCATTCGGGAACTCTTTTCTTTAATGTGTAAAGCAGTGCTTGCTTTAGACGTCTACAATATGCCTCTCCTGCTCTACTACTAGAATTCTGTTGTATGAACACATTCAGTGTTCAGACTTTTTCCTTGGAATTTTCACGCACTTCTCCTTGTTGTGGGAAGGGCAACAACTCCATTGTACAGTCGGTTGTGGTGGCCTACAAAAATATTTTCCCCCGTCATTGAACCATTCACCCACTATCAACCAAATCAACTTTCTTCACTTTCATAACACATTCAGTTACGCTAAGTTGAGTTGAGAATAATTAGGCTGTTCACCGAATTGCTCCTCGAGCTAAGCGATCTGTACGAAGGACACTCGCGCGAGAGACAGTCTTCACGTCTGATGAACTTGCTGCATAGTCGTCATACCCTGTGAATAACGAGTACGAACGAAAGAATTTGTTTTGCTCGGTTCGAGATTCAGAGCGAATGGTGAGGTTATTCTCCACAGTCCTTCGTAGTAGAAGGTCAATCAGAAAGTAAGCGGATTTTCAACATCACAATCAGCAACATCCTCAAATGATTGACGTTATTGTTCTCTCAGATGGATAATCATTTCAGTCAAATATCACTCAGGATAAGTAAGCGGAATGAGTATCATCATCGAATTGACCGATTGAAGTAAGCTAGTGAAAGTAGCACCGATCAAATTTGCTGCAAACGACCTCAAATTAGAAGGTTATGCAATGAATACTCCTGCACGCATACGTCAGGATTCAAGACGGTTTGGCGAGGCGAGACTCGACTATTCATATCTTCAGACTGTGGAACACTAATAGTGGGTTAAAATAAGAATATATGATGATTGGCTTGTTCCGTGCAGTTCTATGGTTGTAGACAGAATTGACGAAACTCAACAGAATTAATATTGCAGTGTATTATTATACGGGATATTCCGATACAGCTACAAGGGCAAGTTCTTTTTTCATTATTTGTGATTTGAGTGAGCATCGTTCCACTGCGCGCCATAACGGGCGAACAGCCGTTGAAGCCACTCAGTGGTCTAAGATGCTTCGGGATCGCGGTCACCCGTCGTAACTTCCGAAAGTTACGTTCTCATCGTAACTCATAGCCGAAGTAACGCGTTCGTTAATGAGTGGGTACTACTATAATGATGATGTAACAAAAACATCTTACTCTCGATCAAACAAGATGTTCCACTTTAATCGGCGTTGTAGTTGAACGCATATACCGGTAAAAGCCGGACGCAGTTCTAATTTGGAGCTGCTACAAGAACAACCGGACCTCGATATTGTTTCTGCCATCTTCAGACTGCCTATAACTTCATGTTAGTCATATCGACTAACTTCGCTCCGCTTACTTTCACAAAAGGTTTCACAGAAGTATCGTATTAGTCGTATTAGTAATAATACGTCTCGAGAAATCAAAGCCTAACCTTGGACACGCCTGCATGCTCTGATCGTCCCAAAGTTCTGGTACTAATTCTCTACACATTTCATGATGTGTTATACCGATTCCCTTACCACAATTAGTGAACTTCAACATAAATGGGAGTCTTCAACTTATAGGGATCTTTAAAGGAGTGAAAGGAAGCATTCGCTTTAGTGGCACTATTGGAGTTTCACCCGTGATATAAAAAACACTAGTGAAAAACATATTTCACGACTCTTGCATAGCCCGTTTTCGACCGAGCATCACGCCACTCCACGCATAACGGGTGAAACTCCATTGATTAACACAGTACAAATTCGAACAATGGTGTCAAGTGTCACCGTCTTCGTCACCCTTGGCCTGCTTATACCCGATCACAGCCGAAAATATTCTCTGGGATTCCTCAATAGGCTCATCTAATCACGAAGTGAAGTAAAATGTCATTCACAGAACACATCACAGCTCACCTGCATGCAATGGTAACACTCCTGTGAGGCAACCCTCACCAGCCGCCCGGGGGTCTCTCTGAAGACTAGCAGGATGCTGTAGTAGTGCTTTCAATGCATCATAAGTCGCCCTTGATTCTACAAGGTACGCCTCCTCAAGTTTACGTCTAAGACAAATAATGATAACAATCATGAGTGTTTGGTGTACATGCGTTCATCCATAGGCTCAACTATCTTCTTATACGAGGGAACTTTAGAGTTCGCCATTACGAAAACCAACACAAATTGAAATCTTCAAGGTAACTCGACTCAGTCAATTGCTTTGCCTTTAGAAACCAAGCACTGCTCAGAGTGAACCTGTTAGTCAATCTTGCGGCGTCGAGCTGATACAAAAAACGAGTAAATGAACCTTGAAGCCATCTCGTTGATGCTCACACGGCGGCCCATGTCTGACGTTTTTCTCGGGGTGTTTTTTTCCGACACCCTCGTACTCAGAGTAATCGTGGCTCGGGGGCTCCCCAATATAACCCATTGCATACAATGACTGCAATACCACTATCAAGATGACTGTAAATATCAACAACCACGACCAAGGCTGACATCAACAACAACGACATGAGCAGTGGTGGAACGCTGCTACTTACCGAGTTGTCGTTGAGGACCTTCAACATGCTCACTTCGCGCATTTTTGATAATACAAAACAACTACTCCTTGAGACATCACTGAACATCAACACCTTCGCACGCGAGAGAAACACTACAATTGGCACTTCAAGTGAACAGTAATATCATCATCGCTTCCCTCCGTGGCACTTCTTATACCTAATACAAGTGTTAAAAATATGCACATGCTCAACCACATGTGTTTGTGGCAATGTGAAAATTCTGAGGAAATTTCGGGAAATTCTCGTTGGTTTTTTGGCACATTTCCACCCGAATTCTCCCGTAAGCTTCTATGACTCAGGATACTCCTGAGCTCAGCTCGAGGAGCTCGAGTGTGCATATTTCCAAACACTGCCCGATACAATCCGAGCAGTGTAGCGCCTGACCAGCCATATTTTCTCACTTAAGACCGCTTCCACAAGGGCATTTCTCATTAACTCCTATTTTCTTCTTCGTCACAGGCGGCCCCGATTTATCAGTGCTCTCAACCTCAGAAGCCTCGTTACTAGCAGAGATGCTACTCGTTCCACCACAGCTCATCTGGCTTGCGGTCTGAGGAAGAACACAATCATAATTTTGTATAATACAGTCAAGGTTAGCCTATCCACCTTTAAGAAATAACATTTCTCAGGGTTTGATAACAATCGAGGGAAGTGTTCCTAATGTGACGACATCTACACAGGAAACTCATTGAAGAATGAGCTCTTAGCCATGTGGAAAATTCAAAATGAGTTTCACCGGTGATATGAAAAACACTAGTGAGAACCACATTCAACGACTACTGCATACTGCGAATATCGCCTTTTTCACCGAGTTTTACGCCACTTCACGTGAAACGAAGTTTCTTTCCCAATACAGCCAACTCACTATTTCATTGTCAGGCACATCACTGCCATTCGTAGAGCTGCTGTTAGCTTGTTCCTCAGCGATCATCACGGCTCGTCGAGAATCTTCCTCTTGCAACTAACAAGGGGAATCATCTAATCACCGCTACTGTGTGAATGCGAATGCGATATAAAAATCTATTTTCTCGGCGAATATTCATATAATGTCTCAACGATGTGATGAATGTTTCCACATAGCTTGGAGTTTCGTTGGCTAAATCGAACTCTCGAACGACCTATTGAGGCTCTCCGTGCTAGCCGCTCAATCACTTCAGAAACTCATCTAGCCCTGAGAGATAGCGTTCCCCCCAGGGTTTGATAACAATAGGGGGAAATGTTCCTAATGTGATAATGACATTTACATGGGAAACTGATTGAAGAATGTGTTCCTAGCCATACGTGGAAAATTGACAATGAGTTCCCCTAAGAACACTATAGGGTCCTGGATGATTCCCTGAGCTACTTACTGCTAGTCGCTTCCCTAGATACTCCATAGGCAACGTATAGAACAGCAGATAAGCTTCTGTGGCCAAAACCTAACATATTCAAAGCTTACAATCACATGTGCATCAGTGAAAACTCACTTCCCCTTCACTTGCTGGTGTTATCGTTTCGTCGTCACATCGCCACCACATATCGCTGCCATCGCGAACATAGGAAACGTAATGACCACTTTGTAGTGTGGCATGCACACGACTAAGAAAATGAAATCGGCTTTTATTGCTTCGGAGTAGACCCACCTCGTGAGATGAGTAACTACTCCTATGAGCTTATATTGCTCAGCCAAAACACCATGAGGAGAGGACGATACGCAGTAGGGTCTTAAATTCAGTTTTGCAGGGAATGACACCTGACAACTACAGAGCTGTTGAGTACTGCAAGCCGACGAACTAGAAGCTGTACCATCACATAAGCTCATGTGAAGATGACAGTGATTATTTCCAGAATGTCGTTTAAAACGTTTCGTTATAGTAACTTCGAAGTTCAAAAAAACAGTCATCATGCACTATCGGAATTTTGATGAATTCCAAAATACCGTTTTTATTTCCTATCGTAATATTCACTATTTTCAAAACTCCGTTCATACTTTCTATCGTAGTATTCACTATTTTCAAAACTCAGTTCATATTTCCTATCGTAATATTCACTAATTTGAAAAATGCCGCTATCATTCACCATCGTAAATTTGATTAATTTCTAAATTCCGCTTCATTTTCTATCGTAATATTTAATAACTGCAAAAAGGCGTTTTTACTTCCTATCGCACTTTCCACTAATTTAGAAATGCCGTTATCATTCCCATCGTAATTTTAATTGATTTCAAAATGCCGATTGTATTTCCTATCGTAATATATACTAATTTCAAAATTCTTTTTCTCATTCGCGACTCGATCAACTTCAAAATGCTGTGTGTAATGCAGTCCTAATAATAACGAGTTCAAAGCTATCCCTTCCTGAGGTAAACGGCAACCGCAAAGACCAACCTCACCGTCTGCT